AGCGCCGGCCTCGGCCTCGGCGAGCCGGTGACGGTGTCCGTCACCCGGGAAGCATCACGCTTCGGGGTCCCACTGTGCAAAGGGGGGGTTGGGGCATGGTCCCGTCCCGCTGAGCTCCCCCAGCCTGTGAGCGCTGCAGGAGGTTCGTACTTCCACATCAGGCTGTGTGGAAATGATACCCTGCTGCTTTCCCATCGCAAGTGTCGTTGCTGGGCTGTGGAAGGGGTTGGAAAGCAGCACGAATTAAGTTATGTACCAGAACCCAAACCTGCTCCAAGGAAGTGCACCTATACCATAGAATCATAGAATCACAGAATGGTTTGGGTTGGAAGGGACCTTAAAGATCCTCCAGTTCCAACCCCCCTGCCATGGGCACCTTCCACTAGACCAGGTTGCTCCAAGCCTCATCCAGCCTGGCCTTGGACACTTCCAGGGATGAGACATCCACAACATCTCATCTATATCCTGACCTTAAAGCTCTCCTGAAATAACTGGGTTTCTCCACAAAGCATCCCGTATACATACACTTAAATACAGCGTTTGTGTCTTTAAATGGGGATTAAAAAAAACCTGCCAGCTCTGTGTGTGAATTCAGTTTGACTATTCTTTATTTTCATTTTTAGGAGCTTTTTGTTCGGTATTTGGCTACGTACTCCTACAAACATGGCAGAGGCAAGGAGAAGAGCGCTCTAACTTACAGTGACCTGTCTCATACCGCAGAAGAGTGCGAGACCTTTCAGTTCCTTGCAGGTATCTATAGCGTGATGATGAATCCAGCATGTCATTTGGCAAACAAAATCTTGCTCTTAGTGAATTGTTTTGTGAGAGCACAATTCTGCTGATTATTAATCTCCTGTATGACATTCAACTGGAACTCATAAACTATATCACTGAACATACTTCTTCATAAATGGGAAATCTTCTCGTGCTTCAAAATTAAACAAGGCTAATTATCTTTCAGCATTGCCATAAGCATTTCTTAAATTCCAGCAACTTTCCCTGAAAGCTTTAAGCCTATAAAACAAGATCACTGCACATTTTTATGTGACAAGTTATGTGGCCCCAAAATTACACACGTAAATCTGTTAAGTCTTGTTTCTCAAAGTGATTCATTCTATGGTTCCTCCCTCTTTTTATACTTCTATATGTATGCACTTTTTACTGATACTTGGATTTTTGTGTAACACTTGGTTATGGGATATAGGTTGAGAATAAGGTATTCCTAGTCTTGACACATGAGCAAGTGTCTTGCCTTACAGCAGAAGACAGGTTTCTACAGGTCATAAAAGGGGTAGCTGTCTTGTTGGATCTAAGTAAGTCAGTTGAGTACTTGAGCACTCTTATTCCACATCAAATAAATAATGTGCATGAGCATATGGTAAAGACACTTGCCAGTAATCAGTCGTAAAATATATTCCGTATCTTTGGTTACTTGTACCCTAAGTGGGTAATTTCTTCTTGTTCTTACAGCTGTATAGGTCAGACTAACTTGCCTGGTTATTCACTTAAATAATAATGTTTTTAACAAAGCCTCTTTTCAACTTCATACCATGAGTGGTATGGAGCAACAGTATTAATGAGGAAATAGAGGTATTCAAACTGACTGTTAAAGAAGCAATTTTACCTTCCAGATATCTTGCCAAAGAAGATCCTAGCTAGCAAATACCTAAAAATGCTTGAAAAAGAGAAGCGAGATGGAGGAGTCGGGGAAGATGATGAAGAGGAGGAAGAGGATGAGGACAAAACTGTTGATGAAGATGTTGGATCTTCAGATCAACGGAGAATTGCTTCATAGTTGATCCATTTTCCATTGTGTAAAGGATGTTATTTTTATGACTGAGAAACCAGATGCTGGATATATTTATATACTGAGCCATCTGCTTTTGCTTTGTTTAAGAAGTTGAGAAATTGAACTTCTATACTTCCTGAAGAATGGAATTCTTCCCTCGGAAACATGGTGGGGTAAGAAGAGAGAATGTAAATCTGACAGCAGAACTTGCTCAGATGATTTAAGATTACTTCTTCAGACAATCATTATCCAAAGTGAAAATTTCTTACAGGCAGCTTTCAGTCCAAAAGCTCTTTCACCCTCTGACTAGAAGGGAGTCCTCCAGTTTGGGCTTCTTCTCAGAGTGGAAAGTGAGGTGAGGGGTTTTACAGTGTATACTATGCACAGCCTTCTCCTTGGGAAGCCAGTAACCGATCAAACTCTCCCTCAGTTTTTTCTGGAACAGTGGACCAAGCCCATTAAAAAGAGTCATCTGTAAAAAGAGCTGCTTCTGTAGTGCAGCCTAAATAGCCATGTTGGCACAGAAACAGGGTAGAGGATGAGATCCATTCCAAGAGCTAAAGTGGTTCTGCAGCTGTGGTGGTAAAAAGTAGATGCATCAAGTGACAACGTAAATATATACATCTAGAACCTTTTTCAGTGTTCTGCCAAAATGTATAATGAAGTCTATTACATGTGGATTGTTGAGGATGAGAAACCCTTTTAACATTTGAGTGACAGAGCTGGATTTTTCATTTGGTTTGGGCTTTTTTTTTTTTTTTTACTATAGAAATGGTAACCGTCCTGTGTAGAACTTTATATGAAACTTCCTAAAATAAACGTTTTGTACGAAAATTGACAATGTCAAGGCTTCATATAGTTTCCAGCTTCAGTCACAGACAAGCCTAGCATGCTCACTGTTCATCTCTCCACGAAGAAAGGGGAAACAAAAGACTAAGTGATGCTTTGAATAGTCTGTCAGCAATACTAACTAGATGTAGTCTGCTGTGGGAGTCTTAGCTGTGTAACCGTCAGTCTCTGCCGATACACGATTGCAGTGTCATGGTCAGAGTGTGAGAGACCAAGATCTCTCACCCAGGGTGAAGAATGCCCCGAGTAAACAGCAAAACATTACTAAGGAGCAAAACCTCCCACTCCAAAAAGTGCCCTAAATCAGTCAGGAAAGGAGAGGTCTCAAGCAACACCCTAATTTGGATGGCATGGTAAAGAGTTACCAGGAAACTCTCCTCCCTGTCAGGATAATACTAACAGCTTCTCTTTGGCTGATGGCACAAATACACTGAACTGCCCTTAAAACACAAGGCAGAAAGCTCTAGTAACTCTATCATCTGGCACGCTCCAGATTTCTTCTAGGAAAGCAAAAATGAGGCTTAGGCAAGTAAGACCAGAGACTGGCAGAGGAGGAAAGCTACTGAGCCACACAAGAAATGCTCTTGTTTTAAAAGATCAAAGTACGTTGTGCTATAAAGAATTTTCCCAAAGGTACCGTAAATCAAAATCATTCTGTATCAGGAACGCTGCAGCGAGTGCCAAGTGATGCTATATCCCTAGAGAAATTCCCAAATGAGTATGCAGACCTACTGTTGAAAGGGTTGGGTTGATTTTTCTTTAAATATTAAAAGTGTGTGGAGAGGTATGTGAAACTGAGGGATGAGTGCTGGCTGTTGGGGGTGGGGGGTTGCCTGCAGTGGGCTGTATAAATTGTGTGGCATTGCTCAACACCTGGTGGGTCTAGTGCTTGCCAGCTTTGGGGGAAAAAAAGGCTACTTGTAGTCTAGTACAGAACTGCATGGTAATTCTGTAATGTAAACAGTATCGAGGGCAGCAAGATAAATCACTGGGGGCCCATAAACCGCTGCCCGCCGCAGTAGTTGTGTTGAAGAGTCACCGAGGGCTAGCCTGATCCCGGAGCTGGCATCTCTGTCATACACCTCACTGGTCCCGTGGCTAAAGCCAAACAATACCTGACCCACAGCTACCTAGGTCACAACCCAAGAGTGCAGTGACCTCAAAGAGGTCTTTATGCTGGGCACATGTATTCTGAGGCAAAGACAGGAGGGCTGGTAAGTTGTAGGGTGCAAATGTTGATAGACATTACAGTTCTGCTTAGTTTTAGACCCGGCATTTTCCATCAACAGTTCTGTTTGTGTCACCAACCCAACCATCCATTTTGCAGAACCCTCTGCAGAGGGTTTGCTTTAGGCCAGTCCTGGAGCCAGGTGTAGATTACAAAGGACAATATGGATGAAAGGTGCCAAGCCTCAAGTATCTCCCACCATTCGTCATCTGCAGGGGATGACCCTTCCTGCATTTTTGGCACTTTGGTCCAGCTGCTACTCAGCTTGTCAGCGGATTGTTACCACTGACATTTGCTAGGTAACACAGAAACTCTGCTTTTAGACACCCTAAAAAAAACAGAATCAAAAGAAAATTAAAAAATCCCCCACACATCCATCAGTGACTGCTCCACAGACTAGTACCTCGTGAGCCTGGGAGGGAGAGTGTCAGCACCATCAGCCAGTGTGTCCAGGAGAAAAACATCACGATCCAGTACGTGTGTGCCTGTGTAAACCCAACTGGGAGCACTGGTATTCTGGGACTGAAGACAAAATGGTTTCATTGTGACACGACATATGATGGCCGGTTCTGGGTCAATGAAGGGGGAAATCCTGCTGCTGTGGTAACAGGCCAGCGCGGCGCTTGACTGTGTTACCCACCTACCTGAGCTGTGTTCACACCCGGCAGAGGTGTCACGAGTCGCGCACACCAGCAGACTGCCATGCTTCGTTGTGCCACAACCCATCCTCACCCACAGCAGAGGGGACTGAGGCCTTTCTGCCTTGCCCAAGCCGTGGCTGGGAACCAGAGCTGAACCAGGCTGCCTGGGGAGAGACCCGGCATGAGCCGTGTCCCCGTGCTGGCCCTGGCAGTCGCTGTCCCTGTAGCCGGAAAGTGCTGCGGTGCTCCCTGGGGAGTGGGAGCGAGCACGGACGGTGAGTTGTGAGGTCCTTGTGGTGTCTTTGAACGTCAGACAGAAGTCAGGATCAGGAGGGAAAGCACAAGAAAGAAAAAATCCAGCTGGAGGGTGGAGGAGCCCTGCTCCTTAGAGAAGGATGTCCACATGGAAAACCGGCACGAACTGGGTGATCTTTAAGGTCCCTTCCAACCCAAGCCATTCGATGATTCTATGAATGACTCCTACGAGTGTTTCTCCCCACTGCACCCTGATTTCCCCTCTTTCTGCAGTGTCTGCCCTGGCCTCCTTCCACACCCCTGATGATGCTTTACTTCCTCTCGGCTTCCCCCTCCTGTCACACTTGGTCTGTTTACAGCAAAACTGATGCAGAGAGACCCCAGTGTAGAGGGTGGCTGTGCCCGGGGGCTGCAGGGTGGCCTCTGTG